CAGTGAAGCAACGCCCTCCACAACTAGACTGAAGAACAAAACGACAGCAACTTGTCTGTTCCCCTTCCCCCAATTCCCCAGCACTGTTCCCATCCACCCAATTCCCCAATAAAAGTCTTTAAAAAAAAAACAAAAAAACTCACAGGTTGAAAATTTTAAATTTCTAAACATGTGCATCCCATACCCAATATTTTTATTAAATGAATTATTTGAACATACTATCATACAGCTTAACTTGTTCTATGACTAATTATTGCAGAGGGATCTAAAATTTTATAAACCTAAGACTATCAACATTAAATTTTAATTGCTCAAAACACAGTGAAATGCATTAAAATAACCAATGAATGGATAAAGGGATAATTATATGGATAAAGATGTGATAAAACAAGTATAGTAAATGTTAATGGTAAATCTAGGTCGTGGGTATACGGATGCTCCCTGTAAATTTTTCAATTTTGCTGTGCCGTTGAAAATATTATCCTAATAAGTTTTTGAAAAAATACTATTTGACACTTCTTTGGTTGTTTTATAATTTAAACATTTAAGAAGAGAAATCTAGATTAAAGAAACTGTTATGGGATGTCCAACACAAGCACTGTAGTTGGGACAAACCTGGATTCAAATCCAGCTCGATCTCTCTTAACTAGCTATCTGCTCTTAATTCCTTAACTCCTCTACACCTATATTTCTTCATCTGCAAAATGGGTTTTACATAATGTAAGTTAAATTCTTCCTATAAAACACAGTGCCAGGCACATAATAAGCACGCATTAAAAATGTTACCTGTAATATTACATGAGATTGCTAATTTTATGCTAAATGGAAAGGGTATTCTCAATACAGATTAAATTGTAATTTTTACGCGGTTGGCTTAACACTAATTTGATCATTTTGAGACCATTCTCAAGAGGGAGAGTCCCTATAGGAAACTCACTCCCTAACATGCTATGGGGTTCAGAGGGGAGGGGATGTATAAGTCTGAAAAATACTGCTCAATTGATAGTACAGTACTGTTTTCCATCTGAAAAAAAATCATTCAGAACAAAATAAGAAAAGTTTCAAGACAAACTTTAAAAGGCACTCCAAAAGGCACTCAACAGCTCCTATAGAGAATTGGCATCAACTCTGCAGGTTGGTTGGGTACATCCTTGTGATGACAAAACTTGTCATACTCTTCCACGTTCTTAATTGTTGGTAAAGAGGCTAGACTAGAACATGACATTTATAGTTTCCAAAATCTTTCTCCTAAATCAGGACACGCCAACGACCCCACTTTTTTACAGGTAAGAACACCACCTCCACCTTGGTCTAGATAACGGTTATAGGAGGAGAGTAATGGAGGCAGGAAAATGAATTCGCGATGGTGTTACTAAAGAACCCTCCTGGTTATCCCTCAGGAGACCCCTTCACGACTTACTCCCGCCACCCCCACCCCCACCGGACCTCTCCCCAGTTAAACTTCCAGGCTCTCATTTACTAAAGACGCACTTAAGAATGTGACACCTTCTCTCCCCTGACCCAAGTAACCCACCTCCAGGGCTAGAAAAAAATTTTAAAGCAAACAACAGCCCCCGCCCCTCCCCCTCCCAACCAGCAGCAAATCTTTGTCCCACCTGCCGAAGGACCACTCTCCAGCGCGCTCCAGAACCAAGGCTGCCTCAGTCCTACCCGCAACCTTTCCCCAACCGGGATTCCGCGACCCCTCCACAAGCTTGTGCTTGGCCCATTCCCGGCCACGGCGCCAGGACGCGGCCCCCGCCCCGCCCCCCGCCGCCCGCTGCCCGAGTTCTGCCTCACCTCACCTACCCTCTTTCGGGGGCCGGACTCCACCTCTCTCTCCGCCATGTTGGGCCCCGCTTGGAACCGCTGCGGCTCCCGGCGCGGTGGCGGCGGAACCTCTCGGGCCCCCGGCCCCCGCCCACACTGCAGGAACGACCGCCTCGCGGCAGCTTCCCGGGACCCAGCCGGGCCTGGCGCTGAAAGTGGGGAGGGGGCGGATGCCGCGCGCCGGGTCGGAGATCTTGAGATCCCACGGGTGCGCGCGTGGGCGGTTGCGCCTGCCCGGGAAAGGGGGGCTGGGACTCGGGGGGTTAATGGCCTCCAAGGGGCCCCGTGAGTAGGATTATTTTCTCTCAGAGAAATTCCTCCGCCTGCGGTTTCTTAAAGGGATCACTAAACCAGCCCCTTGCGCGCGCCCCTGATGCGCAGGCGCACCTTAAGCCCCTCCTTCCTTTCCCACCAAGCCCCCGGTCCTGAGCGTGCGCGGTAAGTGGCCCAGGGTAGGCCAAATCCTGCAAGTCTCTTTGCTGCCAGCAGCTGCTCCCACCACTCAACTATGGCCGCTTCCTTAAAGGGACCATGACATAGTGATGAAGGAGGAATGAAAGAAATTAGTGAAAGGGCTATCTGGAGAATTGGGTGAAATATCATTGAGGGGCCTGGAGCACCATCTTACACCTAACTGCAAGGATAACCATTGTAAAGAGAAAATGATGGTGAGCTGAAGTTCTCAGTGGACCTCTGGACATGACGAATCCCAACCGATGAGGGAACAGCCAGTCGCCTCAAGGAGATGTAGCTTCCCTGCCTTTAAACAGCCTGATCTAAAGCACAGGGCATAGAATATCAAGGGTCAACTCTGATAGCCTAACCTCAAAACAGATCTTTTGGTGATTTGAAGACTGAACCAACAACTGGAGATAATTTCCTCAGTAATAATTTGTCCTTAGAATATCTAAATCAAGAAGGATCTTAGGGGCCGGCCGAGTGGCTTAGTTGGTTAAGAGCTCGCTCAAGAGTTTGAGCTCTGAGCAACAGCGGTTCGAGTCCAGCCCGAGCTGAGCAGCCGCTGAGCTGCCAACAGGTAGCAGGAT